GTTGTTGTTGTTGTTATCTATCATCATCATCATCATCATCATCATCATCATCATCATCATCATCATCATCATCATCATCATCATCATCATCATCATCATTATCATCATCATCATCATCAAAGCATACATTCAGCCTTAATAATAATATTAACAATTTAATTGTGATATTTAATATTTTATTCTATATATATAAATTATAAAATAAATATAAATAATTAATAATTAATCGCATATATAAATTATATCATACGTAATAAATACGTGTAATTTATTAATTACATAATTAATAAACTATATATATAAATTATATATATTAATTACGTTTTGTTATTTACTGTTTCTGGATAATCGATCGATTTTAGAAAAAAATAAGAGTAATTGTTTCATTAAAAATGTATCTAAATATGATAACAAAACAACATTTAATATTTTCGTAAATTTTATCGCAAATCTTGCGAACATTCTTTCTGTCGCAATCGATATTCCGTCGGTGTTAGCATCCCTCTGAAAAAAAAACATTTTTCCAATTATCCATGTATATGTATAGATTGCAAATATCAAATATAAATAAATCACATTCTGTTTTGCTAGGAGAAAAAAGATTTATTTTCTATATTAGCAAAATTTCTTCTACAGTTTTTAATTATTCTGAGATAAACTATTTTAATAACAATGCTATGCACATGTTATATGAAAAATTGTACTTTTTAATTTTAATGAACGTACTACATCTCTTTATATTGCTAATCACTTGCTAATATTTTTTGAATTATTTTTCTAAAATTAGTTATCTTAATTAATTAAGACTATTATGAATTTTTAAATTCATAATTAACTTAAGTTTGAATTTTCGATTTGATCTATAATTATCCATTACCTTAGAACAGTATCAAAGGACACGCATACACCCTTATCGCACATTCGTCTGTAAAGATGCCAACATTCTTTTTCCTTGGTCGTTTGAAAATGTGGCTCCGACGGCATTACCTCCGATGGTGTTTCTTTCTCCAGCAACATCTCTTTAGGAAATTCGACCTGTATTTACAAAAGTATATCAAATTAAAAATTGCAAAAAATGGCATTATAATAATACTAATCATAATAGTAATAATAACAGTAATAATATTATTATTATTATTATTGTAAAATATAATAATATTATTGTAAAATATAATATAAAATATTTCTTTAATACATATTGTATTGCAAAATTTGCTTTAATCTTATAATTCGGTGTAATTCTTTTACTTTCGAAAGCGGTGTATCAATCGGTGAAATCGGGACGAGATCGACTCTCGGCATCACGAGAGGCATTCTCTGTTCCTTTACTTCTACTGGAGCATTATTCGTTCGTTCCGCTACTCTGTGAACATATGAAAACATATTTTCTTTCTTTTACTTTTTGCCTTTCCTTTTTTCGTACACTTGTACACGGTAAGATTATAAAATCACAAAAAAAAATTGTAAAGCGCAAGCTTAAACCATGAATATATTTTTAATTAAATAATGAATATATTTTTAATTTAAAACATATGCGAGCAGTTCGCTCTTAATATTATAGTATTGATTCCCAATCATTTATATGATATTAAATATATAAAATTGTAAAATAAATTTTCAAAGAATACTTTTTAAGTCTCTCATATTACCTAACGATAATAATCAAAATAAGTAAAATAATTTCTTCGTGTGTATTTCAAAAATATGAGAATATTTCGACAATGCGGAATTGTCTAGAGGAATAAAGGGAGAGAAGAGAGAGTTTTTGAATCACATAAAATTGCAAAGTTTAATTCTAGATTGAGCTTTTCTTGAACTAAACGATGCATCATGCGTCGCGGATGAACATCGAACATATGATGATCGAAGTTTGACGAAGGCACCAATCGAAGGACGTACCATCCGCGGGATGCAAACATTCACGGCCGTACCAGCCCGTTACCAACCAATTTCTTTCTCCTCCTTCTTTCTCTCCTCCTCTCTCTTCCTTCCCGAGCACATTGTTACATTGCCCCACTTTATTTTTTCCACGTCAATATCATAAATCGTCGGCCAATCGAACTTTTTATCCCTTCTCTTTCTCCACCTTATACATAGATTAAGTTATGATACGATGATAGCTCGGCTATGCAAATCGACAGACTTTATTTAGCAGGCTCTCCGCACGGCTATTTATTTTCTTTCTCTCCTTTAGCTTTCGTTATTTTTACAATTTTACTAATGCTTTCATTTTTAAGGGATAACTCCTAAAGTAATAAAATGTTCATTATCCGAATTATTAAGTAAATTGCAATCAATGAAATGAAGCGAGATGAACGTTGTCATTTTGATATTCAGAATACTGTTAATGCAATCATTAAATATAATATAAAAAAATTTTATTGTATTTAGATTTAAAAAGTCTCCCTCACATCGGACGATTTGGTGTGCTGCGCGTTCGTAACAACTTCCGTTTCTTGTCGTGCAGATCACCAATCGGCACTGCCAAGCATCTCTTCTCGCGATCAGTCAATGGTGTCTCCGGCACGGTAGTTTCGACATCCTGTGGAATTGGCACGGGATCGATGGCCAGCGTTGGAATTGAGATCACATTATCGATAGTTCTGCCATTCTGCTGTGCCAAATTCTCATTATCGTTTCCATGAGTGACATTAATGGTGTGGCCGAAACGAGGAAGTTGAATGTTGTTGATGATTCGCTTTTCTTCTTTTACTGGCTCCTGATCGAATGAGTCTCTCTGAAAGGAAACTGTCCAACGATTTAGTTCAAGATTTAGTCATTGTTTCGCAAATTAAAATTCTTAATCAATAACTTCCTCTGATTTCCAGACGTCAAAGGTCAAAATAAGAGATAATTAAATACAGATAATTCGGTCTGTCGCGAAAATAAATCGATAACGGATGATATTATTTGGAGCTCAATTGCTGGTCGTAGAATCGAGTTACTCGATAAACGGCATCGACTGTGCAATTGTAAAAAGCCTAAACTCGATCGTATAAGCCTATTATTCGACAATTGATCAATCACGATGTCTCCGTGATGCGCCGCCAAAACTGCACGACCACTGCAAGATGGTCCATTATTAATCGACTGGTACAATTGATTCTGACATGAAAAAATGAATAAAAGATGCGAAATAGAATCTATTTTTATATCTATGTATTTTACTTTTAAAGAAATTTATTTTGAAGATTAGATATATAGTAGTATTTGTAACGAATTATATGTATATTTTGTTTTGTTATCTTCTGAGATGTTTAATATGTAAATTAGAGAGAATTTATTTTTATATTCTTTCTTTTCTCTTTCTTCTCACTATGTAACAAAAAATTTTATAGAATTTTTGATAGTTTTAAACCATTTTTAAAAATAATGGTAAATTATTTGAATTGAAGCTGTACAGGAATGTTAATGTAAAGCAGAAATGAATTAATATAAAAATAATTAAGCAATTAGAATCATTATGAATAGCGAAGTTACGAAATTTTACTGATCGCAAAGTGAACGCGTGTTGTACAGACAGAATTATTCCGACTATGTGTAGCTCGCGTGTCTCGTGTCTCTCTTAATTAGTCAGTTCAATTATAGTTCTACGCCTCTTCTCCTACTCGTTGCCGCATGTGTATACGTTATCGAACATTATCAAGATGATCGCATCTAAATAAATACTTACAACATAAATAATACTTACTTACATAAATAATTTACAACAAGCGACAAACATAAAAATTATTTCATTAATGCGATTAACAGTGGCGTAGATTTCAAGAAACGAGAAATTTTCAGAAGAATCTTAAAACAAATCAATCTTAAAATCTTAAAATTTTTTATTATATTTTTATTGAATAAATGTATAAATTATATGGAAGATTTTAAATTATCTTTGAAATTGTAAGCGCTCATTTTATACCTGATTTGATGGGTTTTCTCGTTGTGCCGGGATTGGGATTAATAGACGTCTTGATAATAGACGTTGTGGGCAGCTTATTACGCAGTTCGTTGATAAGCTTATCGTCACCTGGCGAATTCTCTACATCGCTATCGCTGTCAGCCGAGCTGACTAGCGATACCATGGTGATCACGTCGCTCGTTTTGGGATCCATAAAAGCCTTCCCTCGTCCGCGATCTTCGTCCTTGCCTGGGCCCGAGGTGACGTAACGTTTCTTCGCGCTCTTCGATCTTCTCTTCAGGGACGCCGATTTTATCGATCGCTCTCGCGATATCTAGAGAAGAGTTTGCGCGAATTCTTATCTTCCTTTTTATCTTATCTTCCATTTTAGTCCTTTTTCCATTTTTATCGAGTTTATTTCTAAATTTATTTCTAAACGAGCTTTGATTTTTACAAAGCGATAGGGAATCCCCTCGGGGATCTCTTGGACTTCGGAGAAAAGCACGGATAATCACTTACCTTCGCCACGCCTTCCTCGTACTTTTCCATGACATCTTTTCCATCCTGTATTTTTTCGCAAACGATCGATTTATCCGCCGCCTCGGTGAGACCAGGCGTGTCGATCACGATGTTCACCTGCAGACGAGTCGCGGATGTCAAATTTCGCCTCTGTGGCGGCGCGGAATTCGTCCTCTTCGCTTTTTCTAGGCTCGCCGTGGACGAGCTTCTCGTGAGAGCGATATTTTTGTCGATCGGCGATCTCATCGTGGTTTTATCGGCCGATGCGCATCTGATTTCAACTGATTTCACAGGTGCGATTTTGTCCTTCGTTTCCAGTCCTTTCGGAGACTTTTCTATCATCGGTATGAGAAAGGCGCGATTGGTACCGCTGTGAAAACTCGCGCGCTTTTGCCTCGCCAACGAGAAATCGTCATTGTTCTTTGTTGGACCAGCGTTTTCCGGCTTCAGCGACGAGAAAACGGTTGACGATTGCGACTGATCGGTCATTGGGATATGAAGACTCGTGCAATCAATATTTATATGTTTTTTCTTTTTCTTCTCTTCCTCCTCCTCGATATCCAACTTGTCGTGCGAGTCTGTCGATCTCTAAAAAGAATCAGTAATATGCTCGAATCGATTATTATTTTTATATGAAGGATAACATTGGATAAATTTTGTATTTTTGAATAGAGTGTAATTACTTATCTAGATGCATACTTCGTTATTTCTTCTTTCATTTTCCATGCTTTCCGTTGCAGTCTCACTCTCTTTCGTCAACAAATCATTTTCCATCACGCGAGACGCAATCTCCAATTTTTTCTCACATAATTCTTCGTCTTCGTTATTATCAACTTTATTATCGTTATTATCAATATTACATGGTTCCTTCTCTCGGTTCCTTTCTTCATCTTCCAGATTACTAGGCACTGTCAGATTCTGTGAGTCTTTTCCCACATCCTGGACGGAAACGAACTCTTTTCGAGGGAGAGGGGTCGGTGGGATAGACATCGAAAGCTGTGAATCGCAGCGTTCCTCCATTGCCACGCCATGTGCCAGGAAGATGTCAATGTTCGCTTTGTTCTGCTCGCGATGCTTCCACGCGAGTCGCAGCCTCTCGGCGAGCTCCTGTCGCGAGTAAAGGATCGACGCTTTTTCCGAGGTGGCATAAGTCCTGTTGGATCGACCTGTGGTCGGTCTAGATCGACTCGGAATCTGCCGGGCCACCACCTCCACCTGGGCCAAACCATCGCGATGATCATCGCCCCAGGCAACTCGCAACTGTCACGATTACACGATGATAAATTATAATTATATAACACAAATATATTTATTTAAGACGTACGTTACATATATTAAATGTGTGATGATTAATATATAAAATGATTTTTCAACTATTGAAAGATACATGGAGAGAACAGTTTTGTTTACTCAATCTAAAATTTGGTCGGATTTGAAAATAATTTTTGTTGGATCATCAAAATAATTATAAAAGACGTTCAAATTGATCGCTAGAATATAAGCAATTTTTCATCATCATGCTCGAGCGTTCTACATAATAACATTAGTAGATAGTCTAATAAAATTATTTTTAAATCTGGCCAAATTTTTAGATTTAGAAAACCATGTAAAAGTATAAATTCTACACGTCTAAAAGAAGAAGATGATGTAAAAGTGGCATTATAGCGGTTGAGGAGATAAGATTTCTCAACTACTGCACCTTGGGCTTTTCCGTTGTATTCACTAATCTGTCACGCGCAATTGGATTCGCGTAGATCTGTAACGACTTGCTGCAATCATCCTCCGCTGATCTCTGCCGTCTGATGTACTGTCGACGCGGTACAGGCTGCTGCAATGACAGCTGCCTGATGGGTCGCGTTGCTCTTCTTCCATTAGACATTACCGAATAATCGTCTTTGCATTATCAATGTATCTCCAGAATCTCCTCCTCCAGTTAAGCTAATTGACGAAAACAATCCCTTGATGACAACACAGATCAAGGAAGGAGAAAAGATCTTTCTGATGAATATAATATTTAGATTTCTTCAAATTTTCAATCCTCAAGCGAAGAATCCACCGAAGAATGTTGTCGACGCCACGGCTGGGCGCCGACTGACTACCCTCAATCGTTGCCCTCCCCAATCTTCGTTGTATACTAAGTCCAAGCCCGCTTCACTAACCCTCTCGTCGGGCGTACCGGCCCAGGTGTACCGCCTCTTTTCCTCTCGCTTTCTCTTTCTTTCCCTTTCTCTGCCTTGACGGAAGCCAACACACGAATACTACGGTTGTACTGGTACCATTAACCTCCGTCATTACGATCACTGTCAGCACTGCTAGGGTAGTCGAACTCCTTGCTAGCTTGATATATGTTGCCCTCGAGGCCATGGTGATGTAACATCGCGATATCAATACATATATAGGATATTTCCCTCGATCTGTACATCTGAAATATTCTTCTTTTTTATCGTGCGCGAAAATATATAGGAATTCGTTTTGATTAGACACATATCACGGAAGAAGTTTTTATTATTATCTAATTTTAAATCAATCCTTTCTATTTGAGTTTCTTATTATTATTATTATTATTATTATTATTATTATTATTATTATTATTATTATTATTATTATTATACTATTAATAGAAAATC